CTGTCAGCCAGTGTTTTGCAACTGTTTGAATGATTGAAGTTTCTGGTTACGGTTATGCTAGTTTTAGCTTTTAACTGCTGTTTTGTTGTCTTGTCTTTAAGATATGGATTTGCTCCTTTTAGTTTATAGCAAGAATTTTGCTATTTTTTAGTTTTGAACCTGTAGCTGTGTTTCTATTGCAAATGTGCGCAAAACTTTTTCGATACTCTGTTAAAGTGCCTGTGACATGCCTATCCTTCAAATACAAAAAGTCAAAGAAATCATCTTTATTCTTAAGAAAATTGGCATAGTACACATGATTTTACACATTTTGTCTCATAATTTGGCTTATTTTCTTTTGAATTTGGCTCTGCCAAAGTGAAACAGGAAGTGACATCAAAGGGGAACTCTTTAAAAAAATAAAATTCCTGGTCTTTGTTTATTAAAACAATATTATTTAAACTTTAACTCTTCTTCATCTCTCTGATAGAGATTCAAAATAATCTAAAGAAACATCAGATTCTTCTCCACAGTCTCGGTTGTTGGCTGTTGTAACAACGCTCTGTTTCCATGCAGACATTCCCCTTTGACATCACTTCCTGTTTCTCACATGCAAATATCTCAACATCTCAGTGACATGAAATTTGTTTTGCATTTTATCAATGTTCTCTTTCCAGAAGTGCATTCATGTTTATTACAAAAAAAATGTCACAGGCACTTTAATGAAAAAAAAAAAAAAAAACAGTTTCGTAACTGCGGTGTTTCCATTAAGTAAGAAATGCTATTAAAGTCACACGTGAATACATTTGTTTGTGATAATTCATTACAAACATGGCGGCGATGGATGTAAACACATAGCATATTGCTACCATAGCACTAGTGCTCATCATCAGAGGAGCTCCTTATACCTGGGAGCAGCTACGTATGCTGCGTTTTTGGGAAATTGTAGTCGGTGATTTTACTACTTTCTTTTACTACTTCTGTGATTTTACTACTACTTCTACTTCCTGTTTTCTTCTTCGTCTTTTTTGCCAGTAGAAACATCCTGTTGTTGATCACGTGACTCCTGTGATGTGAAAAAAGTGTTTCCATTGCAATTTTGCGAAAAACACCAATTTCAATACGACCGAAAAACCACCTCATCCTAGCGCAAAAACATTTTGTCGAAAAATGTATGTTTTTCGAACTTGTTTCCATTGAGCAAATTTATTTCAGAAATACTACCGTATTTCTCGGACTATAAGCCGCGACTTTTTTCCTGAACTTTGAACCATGCGGCTTATAATCCGGTGCGGCTTTTACATGGATTTTTTCTTCRGCCACCAGGGGGCTCTTATGCTTCATTTGCTTCAACCACTCGCTTTAAAAAAGGAAAGGAAAAAAAAAAGAAAAAAGCGATCCTTCCAGAGCCGACTGTTGTACCAGGAAGCAGYGATTTAAAGATAGTCAATGGCCAAAAACTCATAAAAGGGGATAAAACATTTTTCAAGGTGGAATCTGACTGATAAAAACTTTGGAGCTTAATCCAGGACCAGTTTTTGGATAAACGTCAGGTGAAGAGCTGCAGACTTTTTTTCCTCATTGCACTCCCCGGGGAAGGAATCCCATGCAGTGACGTATGCTGGAGTGGGAGGGCTTTCCCACCACAGCTTCAGACCCAGCATTACCCCGGGAGGACAGTGACACAGAAACTGAACAGGTACCGCTGTGTGACGCAGCTTTTCTCAGCTTGTTTAACTCCGACACTGAAGAGGACTTCGATGGTTTCAGTGTGCTGGGGGACGATGAATGAGACGTTTTGTTGGACCAGAAACGGTTAAAGAAAACTACCAAAATAAGTTCAGTTAAATGAACCGTATTCCTCCGAACTTTACCGGTAATTTCTAAAGGACTTTTTATGTTTTAATTCCAGACCTCTCGCCTTATTTTTCCGAGTGTTTATTATTATTATTATTATTATTATTATTATTATTATTATTATTATTATTATTATTATTATTATTATTATTATTATTATTTTGTACCGGTGAACTTGCCAACCTTTTTCTTAAAAATAAATGTGATGTTGAATTCACTTTTTTGACCACAATTTTGGGTGTACTGATTTTTGTTTTTACTGGTGGGGGTGGGGGGTGCGGCTTATAGTCCGGTGCGGCTTATATGTTGATGTTGGCGCGTTTTTTTTTTTTAAATGGCGAGTGCGGCTTATAGTCCGAAAAATATGGTAATTTGCTCATTTTCACGGTCAATGGAAACGTAGCTTATGTTCTGTTTTGCTGATTTGAGCTTCTGGTTATAGTTGTGCTAGTTTTAGCTTTTAGCCATCGTTTGGCTCATTCTAGCTTTTTGCAACCGATTTACTAATTTAGGCGTTTTGTTGCAGTTTTGTTCATTCCAGGTTTTAGCTGCTGATGTGCTCATTTTAGCTTTTCCCCTTTGATTTGCTAGCTTTAGCCTGAAGTTATGTTTTTAACAATTCAAGCTTTAAGCTATATTTTTGCAATCTAGCGAGGCTTTTGCTTGGTTTAGCTACATTTATTTAATCAGCTGTTCTCTGCTAGCTATACTGCTCAGCTGGTAGCTACTGCTTTAGCTTTTAGCTACAGTTTTGAACCTTTTCGGCTCACTCAGTTCAGAGAACTTATCCCTACAGTGAAGCACGGCGGTGGCAGCATCATGGTGTGGGCGGTTATCTCTGCTGTCGTGAAATTCTGTTTTATATAGAAGATATAAATCAAAACTCTGTGAGGAAATTAGTTTTTTTGTTTGTTTTTTTGGTTTATCTTCATGCGGCTGGTGTTGCCACGGCGACAGTTGAGGTTGCGGCGTACTTCCTGATCAACCGTCCCCTACTTCCTCCTTCAGCCGCCTCGCTGGCAGCTGCATCCCTCCCCCTGTCACCTCCCATCACCTGCTCCTGCCTGGGCGTAAACATCAAGAGCTGAGATAAAACTCTGTGTTCGAGGAGGAGGAGGAGGAGGAGTACCGGAGTGAGGCGACCTGTAGCGGAAGTCCTCCTTGGTGAGGAGGAGCAGGGCCTTCCCGTTCATCTGGAAGGTGCCGCTGGTGATGGGCCGCAGGGCGAACTCCTTCTCGGCCCACCGCAGCCACTGGACCACGTCGTCCCGGCTCCAACAGACGGGCTGCAGACCTGCAGAGACGACAAAAAATGAGTTCAGCGATGAACAAGAAGGTGGGGGGGGCAGGAAGGAGAGGGGGAGGGAGGAAGGAGGCAGTGAAGAGGATATTGAGGAAGTGAAGATAAAAGGAGGGGAGTGATTACGGGAACGACAGCAGATAAAAAAAAGATGGAGGAGATGGAGTCAGGAGGCTGGAATATAAGATTAGATGGAAGAATGAATCATCCAGTAAAGATGATTTATAAACGAGTTAAACATTTAATCTGACAAAACCAGTGACTCTGCTTTAAAACTGAACCTCCATTTAATATTTTTTTTTATCTTTTGTGACAGTTCTGATGAAAATACGACATCATATATGAGAAATAACTGTTAGCAGTGTACGTGCAGGAAGTCTAAATTTGAAAATCTAAATTTTAGGCCAAAAAAAAGTCTTAAAAACGCACAGATTTTCATCCAAGGTCTTAAATCTAATTCTTGTCAAGTCTTAATTTTTTATTTTTATTTTGATCATTCCTGAGAAGCATTGGCTGCATATATAAACATTTTTAACAACAAATAAACAAATTTGTTGCAGCCACTGCACCTCTGCCTGCAACAAATTTCCCTCAGGAGACAATAAAACTTATCTCTTATCTTATCTTATATCTTATCTTATCTTAAACAGAGTAAAGTTCTGTAATCAGAGATTGGTGCGACCTGTCTTCATGAAGTGCCAAGTTTGCTTCCGGTCTTAAAACGTGGTTAAACTACAAATCCTGTGATAACTGCTGGCAAAAAATGGCACAGTTTACTTCCATGTTTTCAACCTGTTTGCCATCAAACCCCCCGTATACGGCAGCTTGTTCACCTGTTCAAAAACCAAAAAGTTCAGTCATGTCCACTGTTTGAAGTTTAAACATGGAAAAGTGTGTTTTCAGTGAGACTTGACTTGATATCTGTGATTTTTACACTCTGTTGGAAGCGGTTCACAGCAGTCAAGATATGACCGTTTTATTAAAATAATTTAGTGTTCTTGTATAAAAAATTATATTCTTTAATAGCTACATTGATAGCAATAAAAAGGTTTCTCTGCTGAAATTTCTGGGAGCATTTGAATGTTTGTGTTAATGCATTGGTTTGGTCTTAAATGTCATTCCTAATGGTCTTAAAAGGTCTTAAATTGAAGTTCCTGAAGCCTGCATGAACCCTGTTAGGATGTTTCGCTCTGACTCTTGATTTTCCTGCCTACAAACAAAAAACAACCTGTTTACATCAGAGTTAAACCACCTGTTCAACCTAAACTGACCCATATTTATCCCCGTCGCTGCTGATGGTCATTTCCTCCCGTTCTGCTGCTGGAGCCGAGTCGTTTACCAGATGACTCGGGCTCCCCTTTCCTTCTTTGACGTGTCGTCTTCTGGCGTTAACGCTCTGACACCGAGRCGACCGTGTCACGGCGCGCCGCTCTGATCAGAACATCGCCCACGCCGCCCGACTTATCTGCCGGCCTCAAACACTTCCTCTGGGAGTCTGACAGCTGTTATCTGGGGCCGCCAGCGTCACACGAGTAACAAGAAGCTGGCGCTGCCCCCCGGCCAGCCCCTCCCTCACACATCACACAAAGGAAGTTTTCAGAGTGCAATCGATAAAACCTGTCTAGATTGTCAGCTTCCTGCTTCTCCCCTGCCTCCACACGCAGATAAAGACGGAGGTTATCTGACCCGACGAGCTCCGACCGTCGGCGTGTCAGGACAYGTCGTAAAAAGGTGTCGACAGACGAGCTGAAGGCGTTTCACCCGGGTGGAGTCCGCTCAGACCCGGCTTCGCTTCAGACTCTCCTGGGTTTGATTTAACAAACAGTTATTTTATCATCTGTAAGTTTGTAACTTCAAAAGAAGAGAAATTTATTAATTTACAGACTTTTCTACTGGAAAATGTTGGGATTGTTTCAGCAAAACAGCTATATTTATTTTTAGCTACTTTGAGCTTTTGGCTGGCTTTTTTGCTACCTTTATCGTTTAGACCGTTGGCTATCTTTAGCTTTTACAGGGATTTTTGCTACATTCAGCATTTGGCTGTTTTTATACCACCTTTAGCTGTTTTTTGCCACCTTTAGCTTAGCTAGTTTTTTGCTACTTTTAGCTGTTAATGAGATTTTTGCTTCTTTTAGCTTTTAGCTATGTTTTAGTTACCTTTAACATTCAGCTGGCTTTTGGCTACCTTTAGCTTTTAGCTAGTTCTTTGTTGCGTTTAGATTTTAATTGGATTTTTGCTACCTTAAGCTTTGAGCTTGCTTTTGGTTACCTTTAGCCTTCAGCTGGCTTTTGGCTACCTTTAAGCTTTTAGTTGCTTGTAGCTTTTTGATAAACTTTTGCTGATTTTATTTTCATTTTGGAATGAGAAAGGAAGAGAGTTATTTTAGCTTCCATTTTTGCTACGTTTTGCTAGCCCTTTGGTATTTTTAGCTGGACTTTGCCTATTCTCYAAGTTTCTTTTAGTTAACCTTATGCTACTTTTAGCTCGTCTTATAACTCAGTTTTAGCTTCTTCAGCTWACTGCATCTCTCTGTCTGGACCGGTTTGTTTCTTTAGCTGTTCTTGTTCTGATGTATCTCAGTGTGGATTTTTTCCCGGTGACAGTAAACGCATCGTTTGACGTCTGAGCGTGTTGCCTCGGCCTCCTCCTGTAAATCCATCAGAACTAAAACTGGAGCGCTCCGACCCGGTGACGTCACCAACTTATTAACACTGAATCAAGCTGCCATCTGCACTTCAGGCACCAGCTGGACTCCGGTCTCCCGTGGCCGAAGCCGCGAGAGTGGCGAGGCAGGGGCGGGCAGAAGAGAGGCCGGGGTCCGGAGGTCACGGCTGCGGTATGCTCTCTCCAGAGCCGGAGAGACGCTCTGCTCAGCCAAAACTCCTCCGAGATCCGGTCCGCCGGCCTCGGCCATCTGCACGCAGCCCAAAGGAGGAAGCAGCAAGAGAGGCAGAAGGAGTGAGGAGGAGGAGGAGGAGGAGGAGGAAGGGGGCCCAAACAAACGTGTCCCACAATGCACTCTGACTGGAAGTAGTCCAGCGTGGGCTCCTTTACCGCACAGGAAACTTCCTGTGGTAACGTTAGAGAGGAAACCAGCAACGGATGGTGTGTCAGGATGATAATTGAAGGCAGATCGGGTAAAACAGAACCGAGGATGAAAAAAAAGAAAAAAACAGGAAGGAAGGATGTACAGGAAGGGAAACAGATACTGAGCCCGAGCTTAGATCCAGTTCCCAGAGCTGCACGTCACGCTCAGTCCTCATTTCCTCTTCTCTGCGTTTTTCTGTTTCTGCTAAGACTTAAAGCTAGCTGCAAAAGTTTTCACCCCACCTGACATGCTACAGCTACCTGCTACTGACAGCTCAAGGATTTGAGACAATTACTCGAGGACAGTAATCTTCATATTTTGTTTAAAGTTGATCTTTCCAACTATTCATCCAGAAGAGGTGGTCTCAGGTTCTGATGATCAAACATTTAACTTCTTTATATACAGGTTAAATACTGATCATACTAGTTATTACACAGTTATTACAGTTATTAATGTGCAGTAAACTGAACTTATATACTCCTTTATCAAGTCCCTCCGGACCCCAAAGTGCTCCAGTCATGCACACACAGATGATGGTAAACTACAATGTAGCCACAGCTGCCCTGGGGCACACTGACAAGAGGCGGGGCTACCATGCACCGGCGCCACCAGACCCTCTGACCGCCATCAGTAGACAAGGCAGGTGAAGGGTCTTACCCAAGGAAACAACGACTAAAACGATTGGATGGACCAGTGACCTTCCGGTTCCAGGACGACTCCCCTAACCACTCCATCACAGCTGCCATTATGGTCTTGGTCTTGACTTTGTAAACTTTGTTCATGGTCTTGGTACACTTTGGTCTTGTATTGGTATATTCTGTTCTTGAACTTGGTATGCAGTGGTCTTGGTCTTGGTCCTGACRTACTTTGGTCTTGGTCTAGTCTTGGTATGCTCTAGTCTTGGTCTAGTCTTAGTATTATCTGTTCTTGGTCTAGTCTTAGTAAGCTGCTCTGGTCTTGGTCTAGTCTTGAAATACTTTTGTCTTGGTCCTGACATAATTTGGACTTAGTCTAGTCTTAAAATGCTGCTCTGGTCTTGGTCTAGTCTTGGTATACTCTGGTCTAGGTCTAGTCTTGGTATACTCTGGTCTTGAACTTAGTATGTGGTGGTCTTGGTCTAGACTTGAAATACTTTTGTCTTGGTCCTGACGTACTTTGGTCTTGGTCTAGTCTTGGTATACTCTGGTCTTGGTCTTGTCTTGGTATACTCTGGTCTTGGTCTATTCTTGATATGTTCTGGTCTTGGCCTAGTCTTAGTAAGCTGCTCTGGTCTTGGTCTAGCCTCGAAATACTTTTGTCTTAGTCCTGACATACTTTGGACTTGGTCTAGTCTTAGAATGTTGCTCTGGTCTTGGTCTAGTCTAGGTATTCTCTGGTCTTGAACTTGGTATGTGGTGGTCTTGGTCTAGACTTGAAATACTTTTGTCTTGGTCCTGACATACTTTGGTCTTGGTCAAGTCAGTATGCTCTGGTTTTGGTCTAGTCTTGGTATACTCTGGTCTTGGTCTAGTCTTGGTATACTCTGGTCTTGGTCTAGTCTTGATATGTTCTGGTCTTGGTCTAGTCTTGGTATACTCTGGTCTTGGTCTAGTCTTGATTTGTTCTGGTCTTGGTCTAGTCTTATTATACTCTGGTCTTGGTCTAGTCTTGATATGCTCTGGTCTTGGTCTAGTCTTAGTATGCTCTGGTCTTGGTCTAGTCTTAGTATACTCTGGTCTTGGTTTAGTCTTAGTATACTCTGGTCTTGGTCTAGTCTTAGTATACTCTGGTCTTGGTCTGGTCTTGATATACTCTGGTCTATTCTTGATATGTTCTGGTCTTGATCTAGTCTTAGTAAGCAGCTCTGGTCTTGGTCTACCCACAAAATACATTTGTCTTGGTCCTGACATACTTTGGTCTTGGTCT